ACAGCGTTTATATTTTACCACCTTGATGCTTAAATAGCTAACTGTTTATAACTGTTTACTTATTTAAATTTAAGAGTTTTGTTTAATTATCATTACAACATAAATTTGCTACATTCCTGTAGAACCGCAGCCGCTGCACAAACGACATAAACTGATGAAGGAAGATTGTCAGCCGATTGCATCAGAAAATGAAAATGAAGAAGCTCGTCTTTAGTCTGCTAAATTATTGTGTAATGTAAAAGAACACTAAAATTACTTATGTTTGAAACCAAGTTCGAACATTTCAAGGTTTAAATAAAGTGTCGGGACAGTTTTTTTTATTTAAAACAGGGTTGCATCGGGTTTAGAGTTTATTTCTTTTGCGATGCAAAATAAGAAACACTAGGCTAATCTTATTATTGCGACATTTTAAATTTGTATTGGCAAAGAAATTACAGCTAAATTAAACAATTAAAACAGTACAAAACGAAAATTGTCCAAAGAAACATAATTAAATTAAAAACATGCGTTTTTCTTTGCCTCTCTCGCGCTGGAACTCTTTAACAAATTTATTTAGTCTTCCTTTGCTGCGCATGCATGATATGATCAATGCATGATAATTATTTAGCCTTTAATTGTTGCTTCAAAGACACAGCATGCCTTGTTGAATTCACCTTACAATAACTTCAATTGAAATTTTGTGTGAAAAAAAACTTAAAATAGGCTACAATAAATAAACTACAATATTTATAATTTAATAAGATATGGGGCCTACATTTGGACACAGATTTATCCTTACAATAATTTTGCCTGCTCATCAGGCTGGCTATCCGACACTCTCCATATGAAAGAGGAACATTAACACCTTTGTCCAGCAAATGTCCCTCCAACCCCCCACAGGCTATCGGAGTCTGAGGCTGACTTAACACAAAGAGAAGTCGCAATTCACACTTAAATCGCTATTCTAGACAGTGTTGATAATGAAGGAATTAAATGATTTAAGTTACATGTAGCCTAGTGATATTTCTGTCATAAAAGTTTATTACTAAATATTTCATTATTTCAATAATTAATGAAATAAAACTGGTTTGGGCCAGCTTTTTCCAAGCAAAACTAAATATAATCTGAAAAAACGCTTGTTAATTTGTTGTCATGAACAAAATGTTCAACTTAATATTAAAGTCTACAGGGATCTTTGGATCCTTACAACCAGGCATGCAATTTGTGAATTAAGTTTTTATTTTATTTTGTATTCAAATAAATATCGAAACACGGTGCTTCGTGGTAATACTGCTAAATTAAATAACATTTATAGAATAAATATGAACTTAAATGAAACAATATCGCAACATTTCGACAAATACATATTATTATGTTTTTACATTTTAATTCAGGGCGATTTAGCCTACATTTAATTAGAGCGAGATTTTCACCCTTGTCTTGTCATTTTCTCATTGGGAAGCGCATGTTTGAGTAGATCCTCTGTACCTCTCGTTTTCATATGGATTAGCCTACATAATCAGATAACATTTATTAGCCTAAATATTTAGACATTTAAATTCTTTAGACATAGCCGATTTCTTATCGTGACTGAGCTGAAGTGGCTTTCGGTTCATTTTTGTGACGCGCAGTTCCCGGAGACAGAGAGGACAGATATACTGTTTTTGTCGTTAGCCTAATATGAATACAAGTTTACAGTTTTGAACGATGTAAGCTACTCTACTCTTATCTGTATGACCAAAAAATTACGGAGTCGCCTATTAAGTTATTTTAGCTGTAGGCCTAATAATGAGATAAATAAATTAATCTAAATGAACGCGCCGCCGCGTTTGTCGAACACTAACTCACGATGCCAGAATAAACCCGACTTTAGAAAAATGCATAGGGCCACTTGGCGTGGTGTGCCAAAACACTTAATTATAAACTTCAATATTTCATTCAAAATAATCTCAACACGCTTTGTGAAATTTTGAAAAGCCGTGCATGCATTCAGGCCACTGGAACTAATGAACAACTGAAACGCTGGCTTTGATTTTATTGTTTGTCGTTTAAACGTGCCTGTTGCATATCTCTATTTTATATATTTGATATTGGTGAAGTAGCCTATAGCATTGATTAGCTGTGGAGGGAGGGTTGTGGGGATTAAAATAATTCAGCAGAAGTAGGGATGTTTAGACCAGAAGGAAATCCCAGTCCCCCCTGGCAAATCACACTTTACTTAAAACCATGTTTTTAAAAACTCTAGGTTGTAGGGAACATACATCTCTGCCATGCGCGCGCACGGTTTGGAGCACAATATCTGTCTTGCATGCACGCTCGCTCTAGATAGATTACGGGATATTTTAACTAATTCGCGGTATAACTAGTCGATCACGAGTGGCTCAACAGGTAGATCTATAGATAAACTATATCTTTCAGGAATTTGACCGACCGGGTTGACACTTCAGCGTGAGAAATCGGGGGTGTGGCGTGAGAGCCTGGAATAAATAAAAAAAAAAAAATATATATATATATAGCCTATATAAAAAAAAACTGTATGGTGTAACAGAGTTTTAGAGCTAGACAAATCTCTCTGCAATAATAAATATAAAATTTACAGCAGACCATGTATGTGCGGGATTTGAACCTGTCATCTTGATGATGAACCGTAAGTTCTACCGCTCGGCTATGAATTTTGTTACTGAGAAATATCCAAACGTTTGATTCTCACATGAGCGAATAAACGTTTTGTCTTTAGCCTGTGAGTGTAGGCCTACTTTAGCCTTTTACAGTTTTAAAAGATTATATCTTATCTGTATGACCAACAATTTGTATAGGCTTATTTGGAAATTACCATAACTTGTAGTATTTCATCCTTAGGCTACTGTTAATAGACATTAGCCCCACTTATGTTTTGCTAAATGTCCCTTTGCGCCACCTGGCGGTCATTTCGCGAACGACTTTGAAATGAGACTGGTTTATTTTGACCGCGGTGGATGGCTAAAAATGGTATGTGGATGGCTAAAAGGTGTGACTAAAAATGTGCTTTTGGCTTTCATTTATATTTTGATTGTTTGTATATATATATATATATATATATATATATATATATATATATATATATATATATATATATATATATATATATATATATATATATATATATATATATATATATATATATATATATACTAATGAGCCTTTCATTCAGGGGTGTCACACAAGAAAGAATGCAAGGACAATATATATATAAATAAATAAATATTTATATACACACACACACACACACACACATATACATATATATATATATATATATATATATATATATATATATATATATATGTATATGTGTGTGTGTGTGTGTGTATATAAATATTTATTTATTTATATATATATTGTCCTTGCATTCTTTCTTGTGTGACACCCCTGAATGAAAGGCTCATTAGTATGCAGTCTGCTCAGGTGAGAACTGCCTAATTATTCATGAGGGGGTTGGGCCGATCCGCCCATCCGCATATTGCCTTTGCAAACAAAAAAATGTTTTTCACAATTTAAAACAATCTATTGTTTTATGTGAATGATTAGGCAGAATGATTTTCAGATCAATTTGAAGCAAATACTCTAGGCGACAACATCCACTAGTCAAAAGTCTTGTGGACAGATATTTAGTATGTTATTTGTGGCCTTATATTAGAAACTTTATTTTTTATTTTTTTTCAATAACCACGCATAAACAATATTCTCTCAAAAATACAAACATGTACATACATGTTGCTCACATATTATGGTAGCCCTGTGTGTGCTATATAGAGTGTAATTTCACCTGTGCCATTAATATGTTTATAAGCAACTGAAAAAAGCACAAATGTCAGAGCATGCCAAAACATCTCAAGGACCCCGAAAACACCTTGGACCCCAGAGGGTTAAGTCGTTCATCCTCGGATGCGGCGTCGCGCGCGGTTACAAAAAAAGCCGTGCACACAGCCAAGCGAAATGGGATCTTGCCGGTCTTGCGCACCCAACCCAGAGCGCGTCATTTCCGCTCGTGCGGACGCGTCGATTATAAACAAGGCTTAGGTATAAACGTGTCAGCGCGCGCTCGGATCAGTAAAGGAGCACAGTCCTCTCCCTAATCATCTCCAGCAATAGCAGCCTCCGAAGCACCACTAACTCCGCCTCTGTTTCCCTAGTAAGCTGATATTAGTATTTAAACATTCTCGATGATAAAAAATGCTTGTAAAAAAAAAAAATTAATAACACGGTTTGGCGGTTATAGAGTATTAATGACGGTGTTCAACTATAACCGGTCTCACGGTTATATAATAACCGTCACACCCCTATGAATGAGGCCTAAAACATTGAGAATATCAGAATCCATGAGCTTTTTTTTCCTGCATACACGTTCGTGGGTCATATCCAAGGGACACATAGGACAGGGAAGAAAATTGTTTGGAATAGTCACTTGAACAATGTCACGTAAATGCGGCCTTTGACAGCTCTTTTATTATTTACCTGTATTAAATGCATATTGCCCATTGTGCAGTTTCCCTTAAGATGGGGTGGCGCCGGCGCCTGTGCCCATCATCGCTGCTTGCAGTTTTGCTCTATTTTATTTATATTTTTCAAATATTTGTTTCTGTTTGCAATTCTTTTTGCTCAATACTTTTTTTCTTTTGCAAAACTTAGTTTTGCAATATTTTATTGTTTTGCAAATATATGTGGTATGGATTTGACACCATAAATTTCCTGTTTCAAGCACAGATGGTGATAGAGATGCCAAAGTCATATACTGTCTGTATAATGTAGTCTGGATCCCATTTCCATTTACCTTGCATTGTTTTTGGATAAGGTCCAATATCATAGGGTTTGTCAGGATGCACTGCCTTTGTCAACCACAATATATGGGAAGTGTTTTCTTCTTAAAAGTTGATAAGCCCCATCAGAACAAACCTATAGGCTAATTCACCACAGCCAGTAATTTCTCGAACTCCGAAAGCCATACTAAAAAAAGATATAGTGAAGAGTTTGCCATCTCTGACCTGATAATTTCTTCCTCTGCCAAAACATCTTCTATAGGCTGTTGTGGGGAAGCGAGCAATGAGTCCAGGAACCTGACAGCCCCACAACAAAACAGCACCACAGCCTCAGAGTCGGCAGCTGACAGCACTCTAAGAACATCAGCAGAAACCTGAAAAAGGCAGAAAAATATATATCTCAGTAACATTCAAAAGCTACACATGGTATTAAAATCAGACCCAGACAATCCATTTGAAATTTGAAACCACACTGATTTTGTAGTGCATGTATCAATTATCTGTCTGATCAAGATATCTCTGCTAGAGAAATCCAACAATAGTTTTCAAGGCACACTGATAGTAAATTAATACTGTCTTTATTAAACTTGGCTTTGAAACAGCAATGAGATTAGCGAATAGAAGCAGATATATTTGGTGAAAGTGACGTGTAACCAAGTATGATGTCCCATACTCGGAATTTGTGCTCTGCATTTCACCCATCCAATGCGCACACACACAGTGAACACCCCCCCAGAGCTGCTGGCAGCCATTTTTTGCTGCAGGGCCTGGGGAGCGATTGGGGGTTAGGTGCCTTGAATCACACAATGAATCTTTTTATAATGCATCTGATTGGCCATTGCGTTCAAGAAATAAACATTACATGACTGTGATTGGCTTGCACAACGCTGCAAAAACATTTTATAAATAGAAACTCTGCCTGTAAATAGTTTTTATTTTGTTTTAGTTGTTCTTGTTGCTTTTGTGCAAAAGATGAATAATTATTTGTTTTTAGATGTCTTATATTTAGCTATTTCTATTTTGAGGGAGCACCGCAAATCATTTTAATCTCCCACAACCCGCACACACGAGTACCTTACCGCGGCCATCAAATCTAGGCCCGCGCCGCACTGTTGCGTTGGGTCCCGCGGGAGTGCAGGTCACTACTTTAGGGGAGTGCGTTTGTCTTCCCAGGTGTGAAAAACATCAATATTCATGATCATTCACGCCTCCTCGCATACAACCTTTCTGAAACAAAACATGTCTTACAAATTTCAAATCAATGTTTTATGTGAATGAGTGGACAGGATGATTTTCACATCGTTTTGAAGCAAAAACTACAAGACCCATTTCTCAAAAGTCTTGTGAACAAACATTAAGTATGGCTTTTATGGCCTTATTTCATTGACTTATTACTTATATTTTTCCACTAACCACGCATAAACGTCATTTTCTCAACTACAAACGTTTACATACATGCTGCTTATATTACTGTATCAGACTTTATCCATGAAAACGTAAGGGTGCAGTTTCCCGGACAGAGATTAAGCCTAGTCCTAGACTAAAAAGGCCATTTAAACCAGATTAGGAGGAAGACTAGAGCTACTCCAGGACTAAATTGAGGCTTAAATTAAACCTGCCAGGAGGCAGGTTTAACTTAGGGCTGCACGATTTGGGGAAAATGTCATATTGCGATTGAGGTCAATATTGCGATAGCGATATAATACACAAATGGTTTCATGAGTCAACTTGCTTGGTTCTAAAGCAAAATGCACACACAGATTAGTGATAATTCATGATGTCTGAATAAAAATTAAATTAAATTTTAATTTAAGTGAACTTCAAACAATCCTCACATAAACCCATAATAAATGTCATATTTACCTGTGCTCTTCCTGTCTACAGGTAGGACATATGAAGAGTTCAGATGCAAAACCCTCTAAATCCGTCAGACTTATTTTCTTTAAATGAGCATTTTTTATCAGGCTCCTATGTTCACGTCCAGTAGTTTCATTTTAAAGGTACTGATAAGGTTATTAGTAATTGAATAAAATAACTTTTTTTCAAAAATGTCACGAGTCAATTCAGTGATTTTTAACTAATTCGATTTTCTTTTGCGTCAAAAACAGCTAAATCCACTTGTGCTTTTTTCGCAAAAACCTCTAAATCCACCTCTTTGGGACAAGACATAGTAAATAGCTGAAAAATCAATAAAAATGTAACTAGAAACACTGAAAAAGATTAGAGCACATTCATTTCAAAACTAAACAGTAGACACACCTCTTTACAGGGGGGCTGAATGAGATCTGCGATTATTTGCAAATCCCACCCCATTTCTCTGCAGTCACCTTTCTGCCCTGTCTGAATAAAGACAAAAGCCCCCCCGATTCACACAGTACAACCACATTGGCAAAAAGAAATGGCGATTAAAATAGTTTAATAGTTTTAGTTTGTATAATCAAGTAGAACAGAGCAACATTCTTAAACATCAATATCTGTGCATTTTGTATAAGAAGCTTATAAGACTTCAATAATGTAAAGTAATATTATAATGTATATCTCAAGTATAATAAATCAAATTCCTTCAAAGTTACAGCACTGCACCAAGAACTGTTATGAGTGCATGCTACACTTGCGACCAAGCTATTTTCACTGTAAAGTTACCGATTTTCTTTTGCCTTGTAAATTAACGGGAAGAGTTTTGAGGTAGATAAACGACGTTCTCTTCTGCATTTTGATGTCAGTAGGACAGGCTCCTCCATTTCATCGTACTCCATCTTAAAATTGTAAAAAATCTGAATCCAAAAACAAAACAATCTCCTCAGCCGTCTCAAAAAATCCGTCTCCTCAGCGCACCGCTCTATTGAAACAGCCTGTACTGATTCGCGCGGCTCGCGCCTTCTGATTGGTTCTCGGGATGTAGTGGCTTTTGCTGCCAAAGGGAAGTGGCGTCTAGAGGCTTTTGCCGACAAACTGATATTTCTGAATGGGCTGAGGCTGAGATTTCGAGGATTTGAAGCAAATATATTTGTTGAACGTGTACTGTGTTCAGATAGCTTTCACTCAATGTCATTATCTCATTTTTGACGGAGGTGGCGTTTAGAGGCTTTTGCATCTGAACTCTTCATATACAGAAATTGAATAAAGTTATCAAACAGTCTGCGCTGCATAAATGATAAATTATATGGACTAAAACCCTATTTAAAGCTACACAAGTTCTTTGGTTAAGAGCAGTGAGTGTTTTTCTCTGTTCCCTTTGTTCTTTGATTAACTTTACTGACAGAAAGCATTATTGGATGCTGGCCCTTTAAGAGTTGCTGACAGAGACGCGGATCTCACACGCGCCTTATTCTCTCAACTCTTACGACCATCATAAGACTGCTCTTATGTTATGAAGACACTCGACAAATGATATTTTGGCATAATTGTGTGTGTCATTGTTCGTTCACTTCAACCGGAAAGAGAACTGTATTCTGGCGCGCGGTCTGTGCATGCGCATGATACTGGCACGCGTCTTTCAGTCAGGACATTCACAGGCTGCGAGCGCTCTCTTTTGACTTATCTCGCTGAATGGTTTAAAGCATTCGCATGAATAAGAGCGGGATCATGTAACACTAGCCAAAGGATGACAAAAAAATAACAGATGCTGCGTTAACAGCCCTAATTTGTTTATTTCATATAAAATCGCAGTATTTTGCGTCATATAATCGCATAGGCTTGACATCGCGATTACGATTGCGATATGATTAATCGTGCAGCACTAGTTTAACTTCAGATTTACGTTGTGTTTCAAAGAAGACATGTATTACTTGGATACATACAGTAGTCGTCAGAATTATTGGCACCCTTGGCAAATAACAAAATTCACAAAAACCTATCCTTTCATTGAAGTAAAACGACAGAAAATGAGGGGGAAATCTCACTATGAAATGTTTTTCTTTAATATACATTGGCCACAATAAATTCCACCCTTTTGTTCAATACTTTTTGCAACCTCCTTACGCCAAGATAACAGCTCTGAGTCTTCTTCAATAATGACTATAATGTTTGGAGATCGGAGATCAGAGATCACTCCACCATATCTCCAGATCCTTCAGATTCCCGGGTCCATGTTGATACACTTTCCTCTTCAGTTGTCAATAGGGTTCAGGTCAGGGGACTGGGATGGCTATGGCAGAACCTTAATTCTGTGCTCAGTTACCCTTTTTTTTTTTTTTTTTGATTATGTTTGTTTTGGATCATTGCTCTGATGGAAGAGTCACACAAGTCCCATTATAAGATTTGTAGCAGATTCAGTCAGGTTTTGATTTTTATCCGTTGCTACTTGATCAAAATATAAATGAAAGTCAAAAGCACATTTTAGTCATACCTGGAAACAAATCCTGTTCAAATAGGTTATATGGGCCAATCTACAGAATTGGTTCAAAGTTAGAGTTGGAAACATCTTGAAAAGAAAATAGTATTTTTCCATAAATGTCTTATAAAGTATTAGTCTTTTTCCATAAATGTCTTATAAAGTATTATTTTTTTAAAGTAGGCCAATACATTTTATCATACATATTTCAAAGTTAAGGATTCATTATTTTGATATAGCTTGCATTGGAACAAACACTATAACAGTTGATTAGTTTATTTTTGACAAAACATTCTATATATTTAACATATGAGCAGAAACTGTCTAACAAAAGCTTATTTGAGGTCTATTTTATAGCAAAAACTTTATAATCTATCCAAAACTAGTCAACGAAATGTTGTCATTACAGACACTATTCTATATCGTGATTAGAACAAATCTCAGTAGGCTATAGCAACATAGTTTGGATGTGTTCATGTAAAAATAACGTTTACTAATGTAGGTGCGAGAGTGAATGAACGCACAGATGCGATGTACAACTGTAGTAAACATTGCGCACGCGTCTGTGCCATTCATTCATTCACACATACGCAATTCATATTTAAACAGTCTTTGTGCAGTTTACAGATACTATTCAATAACGCGATTAGAACAAAGCACTTAAGAATAAATAACTTACTACATCAGCTGGATCCGCTCCTCGAAATGAAACTACCAGCACTTCTGAGGTAACTTTTCCAGGATTATTACGATAGTATTATTCCTCACAGCGCAGCAAGACGAGGTAAAGTACAAGATTCTTATTAAACTGGATGTTTTATCCAGCTGATGTGGGCGTTGGCATGGCTTGGCTCAACATTTGCGTTTGAATAGCGCGCGCTCTCCGTGGGCGTGTCACATTAACACGTAATAAACTATAATGAGCTGAAAGGAAAAACATTGACATCACTCTCTTTTCATACAGATTACATAAACTGAGAATATTTTTTTTTTTATATATATATAAATTACTTCATTTAAAAGAAGAGAATTTCAGCTTCA